TTACATTTGATTTCTCTTACTTTTTCCACGGAGGGTATGACTTAACCCGTCTGAACTTTCAGCATTTATTAGTTTTGTACATAATATTTATTTAATTGCTTTTTTCCCCTTTCTTCTTTCTATTAATTTTGGAAGGGGCAAATACAATTCAGGAAAAATATCAAAATATTCCAGATTATACCAGATTGCATAGTTATTTACCTATTAAAAGAAAAATACTATCTTGGTTTTGTAAACAGCCTACATGGAAAGACAAAAAAAAAATAGGTATTTATCCTAAGTACAATTTGTTTTTTTTTTTTTTTTTGGTAAGTGTCTTGTAGTCTTCTTGCTTCCTCTGACCTGAAGTTCCCTTTGAAAGGGGAAAAGTGCTAACTTACTTGGCTTGGAGAAAGGAGGGAGGTTTGGTTCATAAGTGAGTGGCAATTTTTTTCCAAGCAGCTGTTAGTCTCTTTAAGGCAACGGGCAGCTAATGGTTGAGTGGACTTCCTTTTGCCACTTCATCTCCATCTGGGAGAGTTCCCCTCCTTTGTGGAGGTTGAAACAACTTTCTCAGACACAGTTATCCAGGACAGGAGAAGTATTCTCATGCTCAGCTGCACTGTGTCAGCTCTGGGGGACATTTGAAAATCTGACAAATGATTTGTAATTTCTTGTCATCTTCAAGCATAATCCTAAAAGGCATGCAAGTATCCAGGAAATACAAGAACCTGAGAAATACTTCGCACACTTACTATGAAGTTGGGGTGTTTTATTATTCTAATCTTTTCAGCAGTGCTGAAAATGGAGGCAGGGACGGGTCGCATTTCTAAGGAAAGAAGCAATTGGAGCTTTAACTTGTGCTAAGGAGTAATTTTGGCTTCTAAAATACTCACTGACCACCACCTGGTGAGTCGTTTGTTTCCACAGATGAATTCTGTTCTGTTCTTGAAAGCAGGATAGGAACCTACACTGTGCATGGCCCTTCCCTTTTCCTTTTTTCAATTGTCATCATCATTGTCATCGTCATCATCATTGTCATTGTCATCATCAGCAGCAGCAGCATTCTTATAGTCATTACCATTATTACCTATCCAGTTATTTCCACTAACACTGACCAGACTGGCTGTCAAGATCACAGTGACAAAACAGATGAAAGTTGTTTAATTTGATAAGTTTGAAACAACAATGGGAAAAGAGTCTGTAATGCTAACAACCGGTTTTTCAATTCCTTGATAATCAAATAAATAATTTCTCCAGGAAAGATTAAGCCTACTTGATAGTAACCATATTCTAAATGACATGACAATGTTGTTAGGAAAGCAAACTTAAGGCTGTGTGTGTGTGTGTGTGTGTGTGTGTGTGTGTGAGAGAGAGAGAGAGAGAGAGAGAAAAGAAACAGACAGGGAGAGACAGAGAGAGAACAGACATTGGGATTTGTCGTGTGTGGGTGCCTTTTCTTTCTCTCTGTCTCTCTTTCTCTTTCTCTCTCGCTATATGCAACCCTGTTTTAGAACAAGAGCAGTTACACACCAATGCTCCGAAGTTCTGTGAACCTTAACATTTCCTTTAACCACAAAAAACAATTGCTGAAACAAACAGGATCTCAGAAAGGCTGTTTAAAAAATACATTGTGAGCATGACTCATTGACTCATTTTTTTTCTTCCCAGATCTTTTAGTGTCCATATATCTAAATGAATTTATATATACTTTTAAGCAAATGAACCAAAATTCTAAATCTGTGTAACCTCTGGGGGAAAGGGATTTTAAAAATGTGTCACTTGCAAGGAAATGTGGTTGCCCTAATAACAAGCTTCTGGGCATTTTCCTTTTTTTATGTTACAGAAAACTCATTGTACCAAAAGCTTTCTGCTTAGGCATGTTAAGGGAGCTGAAAGCATGCATGAATCCTAGAACAAGCATGAACTTTTATAGGTAGATACATCATTCTGAAGTAAAGACTGGCTAGTATAATGCTTAGAGAATGTGTAATCAGTCCCCTTGTTTCAGATGAAGAATGAGGCTCAAAGAGGGTAAATGACTTGCCCAAGATCCTCCAGCTATACCACAGCAAGGGGCAAGGCTACAACTCAGACGCCTAACAACTTGTTCAGTGCTGTATCTGCCATATTAAACCTCTGAAAAGTTATTTATAAACTGAAGTTCTGTAAATAAGTCCTATTTCGAATTTGAGGTTAACCAGACATGTGAAAAATGGTCACTATTCTATAAACCCATTTTTGTAAATAGACAATAGGGATTAATATGTATTGAGTATTGACCACTATTCTAAAAGCTTTCCCTACCATAGCACTTAAGCCACATACAGCCATATGAGGTTTGGACTCCATTTTATAAGTGAGTAAACTGAGGCACAGAGACATTAGGTAACCTGCTTAAGGTCACAAGTGAATTGGTTGGCAAAGCCCAGACTGTGCAATTCCAGAGCTGAAGCTTTTGACTGTTACCCCACACAGAGCTTGCTTAAAATGAGGCACCAGCTGGACATGCTTTCACATAAATTGCCAAACATGAGCCACGGCTCTGAAAACTGAATAAAAATACAGTGGATGTTGGCCTTGCAATGATTTTCTCTTTAATCTTTAGGGATTAAGTTAAATAAGATAATCAATTTGAAAAGGATAAAGCATACCACATTGAAGTGCAACGCAAATATTATGAATCTACTATGAAGACAGTCTGTATAGCTGATAGATATTACTGTCCCACTTCACCATTGAGGAGACCAAAGTTAGCTTGTATGGGTACCACAAGGCAGAACCAGAATTTGAGTCTGAATTTCGTTTGACTCCCAACTCATCAACCTGCACTACCTCCCTCACTTCCCACCTCAGAGCTACCTGGTTACCTAGCTACCTGGAACCTGGGGACCCCAGCCATTCCACAACAACATGGTTATTGAGGTTACAATAATCACCTTGGAAATGATGAATGCTCAGGAGAGAGAACACACAGGTTCATCCAGCCCTACTTGGTCTTAACGCTTCCCTTCAGAACGGGGCCACGCGTAATCCAGAGTGCAGGGCATCAGCCTATAGAGGGCGCTCTTAAGCATCATAGCCAGATGTAAAAAAGCAAAATTCCTGTAGGCAAAGAAATGTGGGCTGGGCGTTTTGGAATGCTACTCCTGGAGGGAGGTGTGGGTGAATGATTGCCAATTTTTCCATTCTACGCTTATCTTCACAGTTGTGACCATTTTTCAGATCCTAAAAGGAGTTAGTATCTCAGTACAAATTTTCTCTTTAAGGTGTTTGCTTAAAGAGGAAACATCTTTAAGAAGTGAAAGCTGAAGAATGGGGCCTAAGATCAAACTTCAAGGTATTGGTGGCTCTAAATACCTGCCATCAAAGTAACGCAACAGAATGATAATTTGGTAAGCAGCAGCGAAGCTCAGTAAATATTCTTCAAACTGATTTAAGTTGTGATAAAAACCCAACTTATGATTTTAAATATTTCTGTAGCTAGAACAACATAGCAGAAAGACAACATCAAAATATTAACAATGATTACATTCTACATGACTAGATTACAAGGGATTCTTTGTGACACTGTAATTTTTCTTCAACGAACTTGTATTGCTTGGGTAATTACACATACACAAAAACCTTACTACTGCTCCTTTTATAAAAATTACTGAATAGAGTTTTCAAAAAAATTACTAGACATAGTTTCTTGAGGAAAGTAACCAAATTCATGAGATTCTTGAGTCCAAATTTTCTTTATTTCAGCGGCTCCAAATTCTAGAAAAGCTTTTGCCTATGGCCCAATCTCATAGGCAGCACTTGAACAAAACATCCGTCCATAATTAGATCATCCCTTTAAAATCGCAACCTTTAAGTTAAATTCTAGTGGACAGGTCAAGTCATGGAAGAGCAGCGAGAGGAGAATAGAAAACTGAGCAGTGCCAATGGGGGTTGGAAGCTACCAGGGCTCCAGTATCCCAACTTGGGAAAAAAGAAAATGGGAAAAGGGAATGGAGGGTTGGAGTGCCAAGTACGTGTGAGAAAGAGTAGGAGAGAAGGACCCAGGCTGGGCATGGTAGCTCACGCCTGTAATCCGAGCATTTTGGGAGACCAAGGAGGGTGGATCACCT